AAGGGAAAGGACAATGTGTCTGACAAAGTGAAGCTCCTGTGCTTTAAGGTCACTTTGCTCTCCTTTCCTCCTCTGCTGACATGATGTGTTGTTTTATCCTTGGGTTAGAAGCTATTGTTGAAGCTATTGTTTCTAGGTTTTCTTGCAGTCTAGTTTTGGGGGGTCCAGGGGGAACATACTGTGTTGAAGGGTCACGCGTTTCATTCAAAGGTAAGATTTGGCGCAAATCACCTTCCAGCTTAACTCTTTGCTGCAAACCTTGTCAGAGTAATCACTCTATTTGTGTTTATACAGACACCTGTAGTATTTTTGGGGTGAGAAGGGCACCCAAGAAATGAGTAGCTGTGTGTACTGGTGTGGTTTAGTGCTTAGCCCCGAGTCACAACAACCAGCTTCTGCCTCCGGCTGTGTCACTGCCGCGTGGTGTGACCTTGGCGTGGGCTGTAAGCTGACTGTGCAGGGACTGCATCTTCTTGATTAATAGCCTTGCTCAAGAGTTATATCCCCTTGGTTCGACAGCACAAATAAGTCTTTATTACCCCGGTAGCAGCGTGGAGTCCTGGCTCAGAAAAGGAACACAGCCCATTCCTGGCTTGGGAACCGTCGGCACAATTAATTATATTTGGATTGCAGTGTAAAAATTGCCAGTGAGGCAGAGACGCTCAGGCCTACAAACATTGCACGAGTTTAATTAAAAGGATGATTTTAAGCAGCTTTGGGCACAGATACTTCATACTTCTCTATTGGTTTCTATCACTGCCTCAATAATGAATTGTCAACGAGTTCAAATGAAATGAGCTTTCATTCTGGGCGGTGTATAGCTCTCCAAGCGGGAGGGATAGCTGCTTCTGAAGAGGGTTTTAGTAGCACGTAAAATAAGGGTGAAAAAGGGAAACTTTCTCCTTTCCTGAGTGTTCACAGGGTGGAGATCACAAACACCACCTGTGCAAGAATGAGCCTCCACCACGCGATCATCCCTGCAGAGGATGGCTGTGCTCCATCAGCGCATCCAAAGGGAATCTTGGGAACCTCAGACGTGGCTAAGCTGTTCTCTGGGCTGGGGCACCCAAGCTCAGTGTTTTGCAGGATGGGGCCCTGGCTCTAGCAGCGTTTCAGCATGTCAGAGGGAGTGCTGCGAGTATTCTCTTTGGCCTCCCCATTTAAGCTCTCAAATTTTCCCAGAGAACTCAGCAGAGCAAAACTCAGTCCCAGAAAGGGAGCAATTAATTAAGCAGCTCTCTTCCTTCTTCTGGTGTCGACCCCGGCAGTGCCTGTGAACTGCATCAATGCACTGGGGCTTGCTGTCCAGAGCTCTGATCTGGGGGAAGCTGACTGCAAAGAGACTCGTTTCAAAGCCTCTCTTGTGTTCTTTGGTAGCATGTACAAGGACAGCGTTACAGACATCACTGCTGTGCCTGTAATGACTAAGGAAAAGGGCTTGACAGATTATTTGGCTTGCTTTTTTTTTTCCCCCCTTTGGCTTGCTTCCCCCCCTCGTGTGTGTGCTTTTGTTGGAAATGAGGAATTAGCACTACTGATTTTTTTTTATTTTTTTTTAAAGACTCTTGAGTGCCCACAACCCCAACTGACCTAGGCACTTTTGGAGACTTAGGCAGAATTTTCGAGTTATTTTTAAATGCTGGAAGTCTTGCAGAGGTCTGGGAATGTTAAATGATTGATTATTTGCATGGTAGAGCATAGGAGTCCCAGCCCTGGACTGAGGCTCCGTTGTGCTAGGTACTGAATGCAAAGAAAATGAAATGACTGGTTTTGCCCTTGGTACTGTGAAATCAGAGCAGAGTCGACTCCCATCTCTCTTTTCTGATGTATTTGTACGTGCTCAGTGTGATACAGCAGTGTATCAAACCACAGATATGTTTTTTAATAGCAGATGAAGTACAAATAAAGGTCAGATGTGTGCAGCATGCGTTTACTTCATGTCTTGAATGGTAAGAGCACAGTAAACAGCATATGAATGCCTGGATGAAAAATAATTGGTCACGCTTGGAGTTGATAACAGTGACTATATGTATTTTTAGATGTGTTTGTTATGTCCAAGCCTCTGGTCAGCGCTGCGTTGCCGTTACCAGATGACTTGCGTTTACTGCGCTCCTTTGATCGCTTTGCCAGCACGACATCTGGCGAGATTCTCTTTGCCAGGGTGCCAGGATCGTCGTGGAGTTCTCACAGTTCCTTGTATCTCTCTTTTCCTTTTCCAGTTAGCCTGAGAAATGAATGTTTCCTACCCTCCCTGCAGACGTGGGTTTATTTTGGGTTTGTTTTTTCTTTTTTTTTTCCTTCTTCCAGGAGGCAGGCAGGCAAGTTTAGCCCTCCACCAGGAATGTTACATTCTCCACGGGTGATCACAAAGCCCTTATCCTGCTGTTGTTAAGCACCTTAGGATAGTCTGTGAATTTCTAGGGCTGATGGTTGGTTTTGTAAATGTAGGTGGTGCTCGGTGTACAAGTTAGAGAAGATTGGTCCCGGCAGGATGCCTAGAGCTGCGAAAAGTCTGAAATCAGTTCCTGTGGGAATTGTGCTGCACTTGTCCTCCCAAAAGCTCCGTCTCAGGCACAGAGGAGTTTTATTCTTGCAACACAGAATCGATCTGTGACTGTGAAGTGTTTGACCACGGTTGACATCTTGGAGCGATAAGGATTTTTTATTATTTTTAGGTGTCTTGCAGCCAGCGAGCCCTGTGGAAGATAAGTATCAAGTCATCGTGCTTGGGCTGCTGTTCAGTGGGAAATAAATACAGTTCGAAGTGCTCGTAGGAGCCTGGAGACTGTCATCTGCCACAGCAACCGGTGCTGAGTGAGGTGTCGGAGCCCGTGCCGGGACAGCAGCTGAGAAGCGTGTGTCTCACCGAAGCCAGACTGCTGCTCTGTGGGACAGCATCTCCTGCTAGCCAGCTGCTATCACCCTTTCATTTTAAGTGTTATTTTTTTGAGGACTTCATGCCAGGGAGAAGTTAGAGACCTGCACATCAAACCCAGCAGTCCTGGACGGGTACTTTAGCAATTGCATGCTTTTAAAAATATTTTTGTCTTGTGTCACTCCTAGCCTAGACACAATCTGGACTTGTGACTAAACTGGTTTATTTAGGGAAAATTCTTTCTTTGCCTGAAGAGCCCCCAATTGAAATATTTTAGCAAAAGTCTGAAACATGGGCACAGGTAGCACAAGAGCCTGCATCTTCTGTTTCCCACTGCAAGCCAACTTCTGTGGCCTGGCAAGCAAAAGTTTCTAACCCGTTCTGCCTTAAACACCAAACAATTTTGGCCATAAACATTGAACAGTTTTGGCCAAGTGACTCATTGTTTCATGTTTGTTGTTTGTATTGCTATAGCAGTTGAGGCTCTTAAGTTTTGGATCCAAGACCTTGTTGTGCCAGGTGTTGTAGGAACATGGTAAAAAAATAAAATAAAAAAGCCCTTGTGAGGAAGAACACGCGTTTCTCTATAACCCAAGACAACAGATGGCTCCAGATGGGAGAGCACAAGGAACTGATGAGATAATACTGACCTGTGCAGTGAGTAATAGTCTCGGTGCATCACTTATCTAAACATTGCTGAGGCTTTATAGACACTATAGCGAAGGGCAGTTTGAAGGAGGATGATCATATGACGGCAGAAGTTTACAGTAACATCACATCAAGCGAGAAAGGCAACAGAGAGAAGAGGCATGCTGAAAATGATGCTTGAGGAAAGATGTTTGCTGCAAGATTTAGCATTGTAGATGCTGTGGTCATGTATGAGAGAGTGCAGGTACAGGAGCAAAGCAGAGACAAAGTTTATTTCTTTGAGCAGGGAAAGCGGAGTGAGTGGGGAAAAGAAACCTACAGGCAGATTCCATATTCAGAGTCTTGACCTGGAACTAGGAACTCGAGGAAAAGGAAAGTGCTGTTTCTTTGGATTGTAACCTTTCACTGTCAGGAGGCACGAGGGAACAGATGAGGGGAGCGAAATGCGCGTGTCCCTTTATTTGCAGTGCAGGTGCCTCTGTAAGGGGCAAAGGAAAACTGCTGCTTTTTGTAGCGTTGTTTAAATAAACTTCAGTGCAACAAAATCAGCCTGTGCAGAAACTTCAGCGAACATCCTCTTTAGGTTGAAAGCTTGCAGAGCAAGATGCAAATCAAATGCCAACCCCAGCAATTAGCACACATCCTTTCGTGACTGTTAAACTGTGCTTAATCTCTACTGATCAGGGGTTTTTTCTCCTACATACTGTCCATATCTAAAAATAATGTCAGGTGAAAGATGTACCAAAGACAGCAGCTCCCCAGTCCGTGGATTTTCTGAAGCAGCTCTCTCTCTCCCCAGTCGTGGTTTGCTTTCCATGCAGCATGGGAGGAAACAGCTATCACGGATTTTTTTGGGGGGGAAGCTCTCGCTGGCTTGAGGACGTCCAGGAGCCCAAGTGCTTACAGCCCACCATGTAGAAGGTGTTGCTTGGAGCGCAGCTTCCCCACGGTAAAAATAAAATTTTTAAAAGTGTGTTGCTATTTGATAGGAAAGATTCCTATGAGGGACGCGGAGAATCAAGAAGACTTTCGTATCCTGTGTAACACAGCATGACGTGACTGCAGAAGAAGAGAGGATGTATTTAAATAGGCTTCCCAGAGGGCTGCTGGAGAAATAGCTTCGTGATAGGAAATGCATGGGTTGCTTCAGCATAAAATGATATCCCAGATGTGTTCTCTGCAGTAGGTACCTCTTAGCTGAACCATTTTCAGCTGTGTGGAAGGAGCCCAGTCCTTTATCTCAAAGGCTCTTTCGGCAATAAATTTTGGTCTTGCCACTAGAGGGGGACTGCAAACTGTACACGGTACATCCATCTGGCTGGGCTTTACCAGCCACCTCTCAGTGCTACCGCCAGCCCAGCAGCTCCAGCAGCAGGACCCTCTCTGCTCTCTTGGGCTCTGGGGTGTCACAACACCCATAAAGGTTGGACCTTGCAGCCCGTGAAGGGACATGGATGAGAGGAGCTTGACTGGTGCGATGACTGGGTGCTTCTCCAGTGCTCTGGTTCTGCAGAATGTCACTTTTTATTCCCACACAGCTACAAAAAGTGTCCTCAGAATGAATAGTGTTTAGTGAAAGCTGAATAAGGTTTGTGCAACCTTGCAGAGTCATGGAGAGGTGTGAATAACGCCTCTTAAAGCCCCACTGAAGCAATGCAATAGCAGCATACCCAGCAGTGCTGTTAAACTGGTTAAAGATGGAGTGGAAACATGAGTGCTTTTAGATCCTGGGAGAAAAGTGAGCTTGTGGATGGGGCTTTCAGTATTACAGACTCGCTTGTGAGCTGGGCCTGACCCTACCTGTTTCTTGCTGCCTTGCAGGGCTTTTACCCACGTGTTCACCTTCGGCCCGACGTTTCGAGCAGAAAACTCGCAGAGTCGCCGGCACCTGGCAGAGTTCTATATGGTGGAGGCTGAGCTGGCCTTCACTGAAAGCCTCCAAGACATCATGCAGGTGGGCACTCTAAATGCTTATGCGGGACTGGTACCAAAAATTCCTTCTCCTCCTTGAGCTGTGCTCCCTGCCCTCAACTGAGGTTGCAGCTCCTCTCATCCTCTGTGAGCCTGGTAGGGGCACAGGGACTTCCCAAGGATCAGGGTTTGCTCAGCAGAGGGGAGGCCACAGAGGGGATTTGGAAGGGCAGATGAACTCAGCCCCTATTTGAATGGGAGGCTGCACAGTTGCTGTATTGGCAGGAAATGTGTAAATGGGCTTAAGTGGCACTCTCCCCTTCAAAACCTTCAGCATCTCTCCAGTGAATCTGAGCAGCATTTATGCAGTGTGTCCCTTGGTGTGCTCTGTAAAGAGTTCCTTGAAACCTGCATTGAAATCTCAAGTAGAAACAACAGTTCCTGGCATGCACTATTCACTGTGGTTTTAGCAGAAGGCTGAAATCCTTGGAGTTGGCTAGCTTTTGGTTTTTCAGTGTTGACCTCTTGGTTGCAGTTTAACCACATGATGGATGCTAACGTCTCTTACTAGCCTCAGCATAAGGCAGCTTAGGCCCAGTAGGACTTGTGAGCAAACATCCACACGTGCTCTCATATATCAAGATAAGCTTCTTGGAAAGCTACTGGAGAAATAGCCTTAAAAAGACGTGAGGTACTGGCTACAGATGTATAAAATAACACCCAAGTGGTGGTTTCTTCAGCCTGGATCATATACAGTCTGCTGAGTCAGGATGGGCTGACAGCAGAGCTGACATACTGTCTCTTGCGCGTGCTGCTTCTGCATTGTGGATGTCTGGATGACCCTGCGCTGTGTGGACTGACCTGTTGGGATCTCTGTCCTCCGTCACTAATAGCATCCTGCTCTTTCTTTTCTCTCTGCTTTTCTCCAGAACTAGTTTGTGTATTCTTATAGAACAGTGTATGTCTATGTTTACACCTTACTTCCTGAGCCCCCTGTTTGTCTAGGTAATCAGGAGCTGATTGAAGTCTTCACTGCTTTTATCTAGTATAATAGGGAGAATTTTCTGTCAAGTCGTGTTTGAGCCCTTGAACACAGCATGAACATATCAGTACTCTTGTGCTGAGAACGCTAATTTCTTGGCTTTTGAAGTACAGACAGCCAGTTCAGACAACTCAGAGAATTAGATTTGAAAGGTTCTGAAATGTGTAGGGCTTTTTATTTGTAGGAAAAGGAGGAACTTCCTTCCCTTGACTTGGCTTTTGTTGTTGCTAAACATCTTGTGAAGTGTCAGCTTGTGCTCTCCTCTGTCCCAAACTGTTTGACATGCGTCTTTCCCTTTAGCAGAAAGTCTCCTAGCAGCAATCGTTTTGTGTTCCTCATAGTGATTCTACATTGCAACATGCTTACTTTTGTGATGTTCTCATTTGCAGAAGTGGAGTTCCCGTTTTTTTTATTTTTAGATCCTTAGGCAATCTGTCTTTAAAAAAAAAAAATAAACAAGCAAAACTGACAGCTGCTCTAAAGCCCGAATTAAGTTTCTTTTTCCCCTGCATAACTGACCCAAATTCCGTGTTCTCATGTATCTGCCCGTTGGGCAGTTTGTCTGTTCGTCGTCATCTGCAAGTTCTTTGTTCGGTGCAAAACACCCAGTTGAAAGCCCTGGGGGCTCTTGGCCAGGGTTAGCATCTGAACTTTGTCCTCACATAAAGGGCTGGATTGTTTAAAATTTATTTTTAAAATTGTTTTTCAACATTTGGACTGAATACCTCTCAGCAAGTTAGTGTGCTGGGAACACTCGGCTTCTTTAGGGACATCTTGAAGTATTTGCTTATACACCATTAAAGAAGAGCCTTGCTACAAAGATGTACCTGTTGACCATTCACTGATGAGGCTTGAGATCTTTCTCTCAGCCAAAGCTACAAAAGAAACAAAATAAAAGGAAAAACAAGATTTAATAACAAAGTTACATGTATTTGGGAGCAAAGGGCCTGATATCTTACAGCAACAGCCTTTTTCCCCCTCTGTAATTATGCAGAGCAGTGCTCAGTTCTTCCTAAATTAGAAGCACAGTTCTTGTGAAGTCTCATGTATCTCGATCATGCAATCTAAATTTCTGTTCTGTGCCAAAATGCGGTTTAGTGCTCCAAAGCAGCTTCGACTCTCACAATACTGGTTTCACAATACTTTCTGTGGAAAGCCCCATGTGCTCAGTGCAGTGCCGCACGTTGCGTGGCTGGGTGGTGGTATTTAATGTATGGGGTGGATATAAGTGTGGCTAAGGAGGGGCCTCTGTGGCCTCTTTCCAGACGTGTCTAGTCAAGAAGTTGAGTCAAGTTGCCCCAAGGCACTCTTCCTCTGAACTGGATGAGAAAGAGAAGGAATTGTAGGTCAGGTAAGACAGTGGAAGGGGTCTGGTTTGTATGGAGGTGTCTGGACTCACTAGAGCTATTGTCCCTCCAGTCCCTGAACTGGAGCTCCGAGGTCTCCAGTCTCATCTGTCCCCTGAGATGCCTGCTGCCACCCTCTCTCTTTGGTGCTGTGTCACGTAGCTGTGTCTGTAGGTCATGATCTTCTATTTTTTTGTTCCACTTTCTTGGCAGTGCGGGGGATTTAAAGGATCCCACTTTGCTCATGACAGTAGTGGGGTCTCAAAGAGGCCGTATGATGCAGTCATTATTGAATTTAATCAAACACACATACAAAAGTATGCTAAAAAACATTATTTAGGCTGTAAACTTAAGAAAAGTCAGAAGCACGTTTTCCTGAGGACACTTGTGGGAGTATATGCATAGTGTTAGTCTTCCTTGACAAGATCACATCTCAGCACCATTGTCTCTTTAAGAGATGGAAAATATCTCTTCAAGATGGAGAATACAATTTAACACACAGAGCTCTGTCCTGAGGACATAAGTATTGTCTTCCACTGGTTATCTGCTTCATCAAAATTAATTTGCTGTCATTACAGACCAGTGACATGGAGCATTATTACCTCCATTTTACAGAAGGGAATTCAGGCATGAAATGAAACGGAATGAAATTAAATCAACAGTAGCACTGATTTTTGGGTGCCAATTTCGGGGACCTTAGATCTGAAACGTGGGTGTGGTTTGATTCCCAGAATAGTTTACACTCGGAGTACTTTCTGTTTTCAGTGCCAAGGCTGAGACAGTTGGGCAAACCTGACTGCAGTCTCCAGGGACAAGCATCGGTAATCCCATGGGAAAGGTTTGTTCCAAGTGTCTTGCACAGCGCTCTTTAGGGTCATCGGGGTACCTGCAGGGCTGTAGGTCCCTTCTCTGAAGTGGCATCCCGCTGCCATAGCTGACGCTCGCTCTGTCCCCTAACTTCCATCGGCTTTGATGGTCAGTGTTCTGGCAGACAAGAGTCTCCTTCCTTTCATAATAACAACATCTCTCCAGAGTGGGTCCTGAGCTGTTGATTTTATAGCCAAGAGAGGGGACTTTATGACCGAGATCAGATGCGAATCTCATCTGTGTATGTGCACACACGTACAGTGTGTGTGAGCAAGCAAGAAGGCAAGAAATAATGGTCCACTTGGTGAATGTTTCATGTGTAAATACCCTCTGATCTACACCGCATCCATATGCATGGCCAAGGTAAATGCATGAACAAAAATCTACTGGCAGTTCTTGTGATTTTTCTGAAAGCGTCTTATAGAATAAAGATGATGATTCGATCCCTTCTTGTAGTGCACAGCACCTTCAATTGCTGCTGCTGCCTTTTACTGCTGTTTTGTTGACGATTTCCTCTCTTTCAACCCTGGTCATAATTTTATTTCGGAGGAGGATAAGTTGCAGTATCAAAAGATCCAAGTTCAAATTGAACAGTATACCTGGGACCTGCTCCTAATCAAAATCAGAGAGTTAACCATTCAGTTCCACAGCAACATTGAGGAAGACCAGAGCTGATACCGCTGAACTTCTTTGAAAGGTGAAAATCAAGAGATAAAGGCTGGGAGGGGTGCAGGAGAAGGGCAAACTTTTACCTGTCCTCCTCGGATGCCCTCCTACCAGCACAATTTCTACATTTCCATTAGGAAGCAACCAAATTAATGGGCTTTTGGACATGAGGAGTTTCACCTCTGAGATGAGCTACTTGCTGCAATTCCCCTGGCTTTTTCCCCATGTGTCTCCTATCAAACTTGTTTCTTTCAGGATACGTTCAAACCGATCACTTGGCCTATATCTACAGCTCGTGCACTCCCTGAAGGCAGCAAGCCAGTGGCTATGCTTCTCCACTCATTTTTCATATAGCCTACTTTCTAGTCCTTCATTATATTCTCTGCTTAAAGCCATTACTTCTGAGTTGAAGAGCTTTTTTTTTTTTCCACTTTTTTTCCCTGAACTGTTTGTGCCTAGTACACATTTGGCATAAATAAGAGCAGTGAGGAGGCCAATGCATGACCCACGTGTCTGTCTCTTTTGCCAGGATTAAAACCTCAGTCTCAGACCTGGAAATATTTCTGGGATTGTTTTTCCCATACCACCCACCTCTTTTTTTCCACAAGAGGAAGCTGCTTATGTTGAATGCTGTGGGAACCTAATTGTTACTTTATCGCACAGTGAGGAAAAAAAAAAAGTGCTAATTAAACAACATGCTTTTCTGAAACCAGATGATACTTTCATTTGCTAGAAAGAGGAAGCTTGATGTAAAATCCCTTCGTCTCTGCCTGGTGAAACCGGATGAATTGCCAAGAAGTTTTCTAATTTAATTTGCATAAGCCTTTTTCTAGCTACTTTGAAGAAAGTTCAAAGCTGGCTGGTTATTTGCCACTCAGCAGCAGGAATACTAGCTTTTCATTTCCTCTGTGTTGGAGTACCAGTAGGGGTAAAACTGTACATCTGCATATCATAATGCTATTCTTTTATTTGGATCTTTCATTTTTAAGCAGAGAACCCAGGCTGATGCAGGAGTCTGAAGGCTGAGTTTGGCTCCAGGGGAGTCAGAATGGATGGATTTACCAGCTTCTCTAGGCTGGTGGGATGCAGAGGTTGTTCATCAGCACAGAGCAGTGTTACGGCAGCTTGGGACAGGGGATGAAGGATGTTCTTCTGAAAATGGATGCCCCATCCCTGGAGGGGTTCAAGGCCAGGCTGGATGAGGCTTTGAGCAACCTGGGCTAGTGGGAGGTGTCCCTGCCCATGGCAGGGGGTTGGAACTAGATGATCTTGAAGGTCCCTTCCAACACAAACCATTCTGTGATTCTATGAGAGTTTGAACAACATGCCTGGAATCTCCTCTTGGCTATGTCAGGAGCCCAGCTGCTTATTTTCTGTGCCTCTTGTTCCTCTTAACCCTGTGAGATCTAGTTCCTTGCAAGGCAGAGACCTGCTGCTTCCTCAGATCTGCTGACTGAGCGTCAGGTTCATCTTTTCACAGTTAGTCTCCCCTGGGCTTTGCGGTGTCTAGGGACTGCTGCTCCCCTAGATGTTATTGGTGATGCTTCTCTTCTCTCAACTCTGCAGTTAATGAAGCAGTTGTTATGCTCACAGAAAAAAACAGGAACGTGCCAGGACTTTCAGAGGTGCTTTTTGTTGGGAAAAACCTGGTGCCATCCCAGGCTGAGATGACGTGCAGCCCAGCTGTGTTGTTCTGGTCCTTACAGAGGAGATGAGAATAAGGAGGGTGATTTGGAAGAAGAGTTGGGATCATCAGTACTATGCAGGTATCAACTGCCTGCTACGTGCAGGCATATGAGGAGTCATGGGAACTCTTAATCTGCACAACAGCAAGCATCTTGGATGGTCTGCTTTGCTTAACCAAAAGAGAAAATTACTCTTAAAATGAGTTGATCAACATGCAGTGGCATCCGACATGGTTTTTTTGTTTGGTTGTTGGGTTTTTTTTTTTGTTTAGAACCAAAATGGCATTTTAATTTCTGCATGGGTGAAGCCCGTTTTACTGGATAAGCATATCCAAATGGGATGATAATGCAATTTAGCTAATTGACATTAGTTTAGGGAAATGAAACCACATATTTTATTTTTTTTTTTAGTTTCTCAAACATCCCTGCATTGATGTGTTCTCTACTTAGCTCTGTACGTGGTCACTTTGCTTTGCTCTTACTGTGCAGAGTCTCTCTACCTGGGATCTGTTTGATGGGCTGGCTCTACACACTTTTATTCTCCTTTCCTGTAGTTCTGCCTCTTGTAACAACAAAGCAGAAAACCAGAATTGCTCATTACAGGAAAGGCACCTCACTAATCATTGATCTGAGACCAGTCACCACAAATGATGATAATGTGTGTGTTTGTGTCTGACCAGGGCTGCTGCTTGAATATTTCAGCTGTGCTTTTTCACTGGAGATACCCGACTGAAGATACTGAGGCTAGCAGCAGACACTGAAGCCCTGAACCCATAGTAGAAATATAGGTTCCAGTCCTCTTCAGCTACTGAGCAAGCTTGCTAATTAGGACTATTAGCAGGCTGGTACCCTCTTATGCAGTCTGACCATGCAGAAGGACAGAAGCTCCTTCTGTACCCTTTGGCTGATGTGTACTGTGTTTTATTTATAGTCTGGGACATCTAAGCTGTGTTAATTTTTCATGGACTACTGTTTTCTCTGTTAGGTTATAGAAGATCTTTTCAAGACAGCGACGAACACTGTGCTCTCCAAATGTCCTCGTGATGTTGAGCTTTTTCATAAGTACATAGCTCCTGCCCAGAAGGTAATAAATGTGATAGGAAAGAGCTGCAATCCTTTTATGCATTTTGGGGGCCTTTGGCAATAGGGACTCTTAATTTTATTTTATTTTCTGTGTTGTCCTGTGTTACACGACAAATTATGAAAAGCTAAAAGTCAGCCTGAGCTTAAGTGATTGTTCAGGCCAACACAGGACACACAACTTTCTGTAGCTGTTAGTAAATGTGGCAAAACTGTAGCTGTCCCATCATCTAGCAGGCTCTGAATCCTCAGCTCCAAAAATCAGATACCCTTTTAGCACTGAATGGCTGTGAGAGGATTTTGACCCTTATCTAGATCACCAGATGTACACATCAAAATTTAGAGGGCGGTAGCTTTTCGCAGTTTCCTCTGAGCTCCTGAAACCTTAAAGAGTAGCTTTACATTTTTGTTTTTTCTTCTTTTGACCAAGGACAGGTTGGAACAAATGCTGAAGAACAAATTTGTGACGTAAGTACTTCTGTTTCAGGGGGAAAGGGTTCCCATTTTGTATACGTTCTTTCTCTTTCCCAACTCAGTATCTTCTGCGTTAGCATAATGTCTCCAAAAGAGCATGAATTGCAGTTCCCTTTGTACTGTTCTCCATTTGCCTTTTCATCTCTGCATGGGACTGGCATCGGAATCTGCTGGCCTTTGGCTTTTGCTTCCCTGGACAAGGTCCTCTTCTATCGGGGTATCCTCCTTCCAGCATGTAGTGCACAGTGACTTACTCACTGTCTTGCTTGGCTTTGGTGCTCTGCCTTCCTTCACACTTCCAATGGCTCCATTTTCATGAAACTATTTTTTAGTATTTAAAAATCCCAATTGATTTTCTATTCCTGATCGCTTGTGCAACTCCTTTCCCCAGTTCTCTGCATGCTAAAGAACCGAAGGGTTTTTGTTTCCCTCCTTGGCCCCCAAGAATACCTCATCTTCCCTTCTCTTGCCTCTCAAATAGTGCTACTTTCCAGCCCACAGAACGTTGTAGGGCTGCGCAGCCCAGCACTGGTTTTCCTGTGAAGCAGCTACAGCCATGCTTGGGCAACAGGATTGTGATAGATCCTCCCTGTGCCTTGTCTTGATTTCCAGTCATCAAACCTAAAGCATCTTTCACTGCACTTTTTCTGTTTGCTCTGCCATGATGCTGTTCTTTTGTGCTGGTGGAAGTCTGAAAAATCTGCTCTGGTATCTGTCAAAGGAGTAGAGAAACTTCGCTGCAAATAAACCTCCCAATTTTTACAAAGTAAAATAAAAATGTTTGAGCTACAAGCCCTTTGCACTCTGGGCTGTTGTTTTTGCCTAACACCGTCCTGAACAGTAGAGCTATGTTGTTGGAGCTATGCCAATGAGGGCACATTGTTTTCTGAAAAAAAAAAAAAAAGCCACAAATTTATCTGAAGCAATTCTCTGCAAAATTCACTTCTGACTGAAATGCATCATTGCAATAATGAAAAGTGTCTTGAGAGCTCAGCACTTCCCCTGCGTGTAGCTGAAGCACAGGAAAACATAGTTCTTACCATATAAAATATTTTGGTTTGTGTCCAAAGAAGCATTGCTGAGAAGTCTGACATCACAGCACAAGTTGACGTGGTGGTGGGGAAATTCCTCCTTAATTTTCCAGTGCGGCACTTAGCCAGAAAATGTCCTTGTTATTCCTTTCATACTTATCTTAAAGGCTTTTTTTTTTTTTTTGTCTTGCAGAATTTCCTACAGTGAAGCAATGGAAATTTTGAAACAAGCTTCTCAAACTTTCACTTTCAAGCCAGAGGTAGGTAGTTGCCTGGTGGCTTGTCCCTGTTCATGCACGCAGCCAGCCTGAACTTTGTAATTCACGTTTCTCTTTCTGATACTACAAGAGTTGTTACTTCGCACAGGTTGTCTGCCTCCTGGGGTGTTTTTTTTTACTTTATTATTTTTGCCTTTTGGGGTTGAAATGAGAGCAGTATAAGGAGTGAGATCTGCAGCAGAAGAACACGTAACGTTTGCTGGGAAGGAAGTGATGCACTTGCTGTTGAAGGACCAAAGCTTTGGCAAAAGCACTTCTCTTTTGTGTATGCAAGTAGTGCTAAGTGTGTTGTAAATGAAGTAGCAGTCATCTGAGGAGGGTTGCTGCAATACTCCTCAAATAAAGGAATGGTATTAGGATAACACCAAAATTTTGACAGGGACCAATAAGCCAAAACCATATCAAACGACCATGTAATCTAGATGTAGGTAGAGGGAATTCCTTGTCTTTCCAAAGCACAGGTGTCGCCTGGGAAAGAGAATCACATGCTAGTCTTTCTAACACTTGCAAACATGCACACAAGCAGGGAGAGCATTTGTGGTGGTGCTCATCTCCTGTGTATACCGATTAATCTTTCTCTTGTTTTGATGCTTTGAGGAGAATAACCCTCTGGCTGAAGCCACTTTTGTAGCCGGTTGGGTGACTGTCTCGTCTCTGTGTAGAAGTGGGTGTAGAACCTGAAATCCGGTATCTGCGCTACCTTCGTCTGGGACAGCAAACTCGGGATATTTTCAGATGAAGAAAATCTGCAGAATATCTGTTCCGTTCTTCTCCCCCAATATTCTTTGCACATCCTATAGTGGGCTGGAGGTCTCTAGTCAAAAGGCACAGAATTTATGTCATTGGAAGAAAGGAGAAGTGAAGGGTATTGAAAATGTCCAAGGTTTCTGGTAACAAAGAATTTATTGATGGGATGCTGGGTTTTCTTAAGTGAGAATTAATGCAGCGTGGAACAAGACACAGCAGGGAAAAGAACTGTTAACCTGGCAAAGCTGTGTCCTGTATTCCAACAGTAACACAGAAATAAGGCTGCTTTGCTGAGTTGAGTAAGCTAACTTTGGACAGGTGCCTGTTTCCCTTAAGCTGCATGGAGTGTGGGTTTTGGTTTTGGGTTTTTTGTTGTTGTTGTTGTTTGGGTTTTTTTCTAACTTGATACCAGATGCTTGGGCTTGATGCAGGGATGATCTGGCCCTGTTCTATGGAAGTTAAACCGTGTTATTTCATTACTTTGCTCTGCCTTCAAACTCGTGAAACTCTGGCTGATGAAGAAATTTTCTCAGTGGCCTATGTGAGAAGTTGCTGGGCTTGGTTTCATGTTGTTCAAAGCTGCACGTCTTTCCTACACAGGGATTTTCCTGTCTCTCTCACACCAAATCAAGATCTTAGGTCCCTTTTGCTGTCTTTACAGTGGGGCTGTGACCTGCAAACAGAACATGAAAAGTACCTGGTGAAGCACTGTGGGGAGATTCCCGTGTTTGTGATTAACTACCCATACGACCTCAAACCTTTCTACATGCGGGACAATGAAGATGGACCTCAACACACAGTGAGTCCGTGGGTCGTACTTCCACTGCTTTTCTGGCTAGGCATGTGTCTTAGCCTACTGATAGATGAAGATAGTCTTCTGCTGGGCCTCCACTCAAGAAGTCCAAGATAAGACGTGACCATCAGGCAATCCTGTCCAGTCTTTTTCCTATTGTAGAAGAAATCTCCAAAACAGGAACAACAGGAGGAGGAAGATTCAGGAGTTGGATAGCATTAAGTTTTTGCTGAAGTCCTTTAAGACAAGTTTGCCATAGTTTCGTTCTTTTCCTGGTAAACTTACGTACTACTAGGTGAAATGCCTAGGATTGCATGGCTCCAAGCAGCCCTTGAATCTCTTATCATCCAAATGTAGCAACCACGTAATCCTCAAATAGCAGATGTGCACAAGAAGTAAGCTCTTTTTCCACAAGTCTCATGCTTTTTGAAGGTGTGATTTCCCAATTGAACTAAGACAACCCGAAGTTCTGCTTCTGCTAAAAAGAGCACCATGTATTGCTGTCACTTCAATGGCTTTAATTGTAGCAACAGTTCAGCTTCGGGATAAGAAAAGTAACCCTACAAAACAAAACAGAGAAGACAGTCCAAAATGTAACAGGATAGGTGGTAACACTAGGATCCTAATGCTTGGATCCAGCACAAGTGCCATTGATCCATTGATGTCATTACCACTAGAGCTGGCTCAAGGAATGGGGGCGGACAGGGGGCAAACACAAGTTACAGCGTCAGGACAACTCTGAGAGAATCAGGGCTTCAGGAAACTTACCCGTGTGTCCTTGCTTCCTTGTGAGCTGCTGTTGGGTTCTTTGTACCCTGCACAGGCTTGCCTCCATGTGCAGGTTGTCACCAGAGTGACCTGCTGGGATTCAGTTCACACCACCGGCTGTAGATGTCCTCAATCTGGAACATCACTGCACTTGTTTAGGTTTTCTGTAGACTTACTGATGTTTATCATTGTAAAGTTCCCTCACAGCCTTCTCCTATCAACAAGAGACTTTTCAAGCGTGTGCAAATACTAACCAGGACTCTGGAAGAATAATTACAGTAGCTTTTTACAAAAAACCATCAGTGTCAACTTCTGTACTTCTGCCACACAGTATGGCTATGTGGCATGACTGAGATTAGTTTTCTTTCTTTTAAGGTTGCAGCTGTTGATCTCCTCGTACCAGGAGTAGGAGAGTTGTGTGGAGGCAGCTTGAGAGAGGAGCGACTGCCTTTCCTGGAATCACGCTTACAGAGGTATGGGAAACCCCCAGATGCCAGGAGAGCAGCCTGACCAAGAGCGTGCTGCAGCAGCCCTCGGTGGATGGCAAGATGGAGGAGTGGAAGGGCAACTAATGCTATTTAAAAGCCACTTATTTTGTCTTTGAGATATTTATCTGAGTAGGTGATTGCAAACTGGTGGAGAAGTTCTTGTGCTTCTGTTGTAGGTATGCAAACTCTCTCTGTTTTAGCTCATCACAGAAGAGTTTATTTTATGGCAGGAGACCAATGTCTCGGCTCAGCTGTCTGGGTCTGGTGTGAGACACTTTGTCCTCGAGTCTTTTCTTCACAACTTTTGTGGCTGAGAGTGGATTGCGAAGGTGGAAGTTGTCACGTAGACAGAGCTTAGATATATTTGTCATTGCATTGTGTAACTGAGGAACTGTGCGGGTGGTGAGGCAGTGGCCCAGGGTGCCCAGAGCAGCTGTGGATGCCCCATCCCTGGAGAGGTTCAAGGCCAGGCTGGATGAGGCTTTGGGCAACCTGGGCTAGTGGGAGGTGTCCCTGCCCATGGCAGGGGGTTGGAACTAGTTGATCTCTAAGGTCCCTTCCAACCCAAACCATTCTGTGATTCTATAACTGCAGTTTTGGTCAGAAGCTTTCTAGCTGTGGTGTAGCTGGCCTCAGTGGCATCATTTAAGAGAATACACTTCTTTGCTAACAGTTTGGTTGGAAGCTTCATTGGAAGTGCCTGGGACCTGTACTGAATCATCTGGGCTCTTTCCTTTTTGCTGCTTTGTTCTGGATTGTGTGACTTTGAGTAATTTTAGGCTAGATTCAGTGTCGGAATATCGAAGCTGCTGTTTAGTTAACAATAATTGACGTTCTAGATGGGGTAATTCTCCACAGACAATTACTCCCTGGATCCTGTCTGATTGTTCAAAAGAACCCTTCATAACTCAGATGAGTCCATTTGTGCCATCCATACACTTGTGCAAAGCAATTTTGGAGGAGGATTAATCCCAGAGTAACATCATTTGTACATTGGGGAATTAATTTGTTGCTTAAATCAGCTACATGCTCATGGAGAGATATATCTAGTCAGTGGAGAAGAGCAAAAGCCATTTCAGCGTAATGAATCCGAAAGGCACAGGACAATTAAAATCACAGAACATTGGTTCTCAATTTGTGGTGTACGATGATATTATTCCCTGTGTCTCCCTGAGAACTCTCCCAAAGCAGGCATGCTTCAGCTGAAGCAAAGTACAATGTTGCCTGCTGCACTTTTTCACTTGAAATTTTTTGCTGGTGAGATGTGGAGTCCACAGCCCTCAAGGTGTGGGGCTGCAGGAGTGGTCCTTGAGGAGGTTGAAGCCGGACTTTCTTGTTTGTCAGGAAAGTCATAGGAAAAATTTCAAGCTACAAATGGGGTGTGTCTTCAGTGACCTTAAAGTACAGCTCTGCATTGAAGATGGTCTGGAAAAATAACACCTCTTTTCACATGTTTTTCTTAGTTTTGAGTACTTGAGATCTGATCTGCTGAGCCCAAATACTTCGTTAAAGGCTTTTAAATTCTATTTCCTGTAGACCCAGTGTAACTAAGAGAGACAAAGAACAAGATTCTTGTCTCCTTATACACATTTCATACAATAGCTCTCCAAGACCCGGTCAGGGACAGCTGCAGTGCACCGAAGATGGGAGAAGTGGTCTCTCTTTGCCTGCAGTTTTCTGTGTTCAGAGAAATGGGGGGAAAAAAAACAGGAATTTTGTTCTGACTCTACCGGGGCAGGAAAAGGGGAGAGGATGCACTGATGGCAATTAGAAAAAGATGTATTTTATTTAGTTTATTTTATTTATTCCCTTAATTTCCTGCCTTTCCTCCTTGGAATGAGTTTAGTCATCAGACCCTCGCTTTTCTTGAGCATTCTCTTCCAGCCAAGTGCTGCTTGTGTGGATCTCCTCTGTTCCTTTACTTACACGGGGTTTTCTTTTTGTTCCACAGATTAGGACTCACAGATGCCTACCAATGGTAAGACACTATCTTGACCTGCAAGCTGTATTTCTTCTTTTGAGACTCTTTAAATGACTGTTTCATTTTTATTTTTTTTTTATCCTGTCCTTGAGGGGATGTTTCTTGGCCCAGCTGCCCTGCCAGTCTAAATGGAACAGCCAGTTCATTTAAACAAAGTTTAATCTAATGCTACTTAGTTTATCTTCCCAATTTGTCCACTCACAGCACAGGTCATTCCTTTCCAGATTTCATGAAGTGGATTAATTTACAGCCTGTCAATGTTTTTGGATATTAAATCATTAAGCTGTGTTCCATGCTGAATAGATTCTGACCACCATCACATGAGATAACCAGGTTACAGAACCACAAGCAATTTGTGACCTTTAACAGCTCTATGAATAATTCCCTTTGCAATTGAGAGGGCAATTGGGTTGAAAAATGTTCCCTAATAAAGCAGTTGAAGCAATTAAAACTGTCCTGTTAAGGAGACAGAACAACCTTTGAATTAACAGTGTAGCCTATTAAAAAGACAGAAGGATCTTAGTGTTCCACTTGACAAGTGGTTCTCGGTATGTACTTTGTCACAGCTACTTGAGCGGTGATAGTGTGGAGAATTTATATTTAGAAGAGTATATTTACATTTAGAATGATCATTAGGGAGGCTACCCTGAAAAAAAGCAGATTAAGTGTAGGATTCTTTACTCTCCTCTTCCCACAATATGAAATCACTTAGGAGCAGCCTAGGGCATGGCAGACCTTTACATCATCCATTTGCAAACAGGGTGAATGAAATGTCTTCCTTTATTGTTTGTGTGTATGGGCCAGAATAAAGCATATCAGTTCATTTGAGGGAAGGATTATCCTGACCAAGGATCAGATATGTGGTTAGATGCTGAGATACAGCCTGAGGAGGTCTGGTGTTCGGTGGCAGAGCCTTCCAGCACTACTAAGATAGCTCAGCCCTGCCTCGTGCTTCCCTCAAGAGAGAAGATTAAGACACTGCCATCATCCATTTGCATTTTCATGTGATATGTAGCAATCACATTCTGGAAATTCTTTCCTCCTGTGGTCTCGTTTTGGAGACTTTTTCTTCCTCTATTCCTTCCACTCCATCACAGTGGATGTAACTTCCCAGAGGAGATTAAAACTGTTGTTACCCCCTGCCGTAGCAGGGTCTGGTGTCCTGGGAGGGTACAGGGTAGGAGTAATCCTGGATGCTTCTGGCCTACAGACTAGAATCTGCCGGAAAAACAGGTAGGTAGTTTGCCAGCATCCATCTTTTTAGTGGAGGTGGCAGGAGAGACTGACATTAATCTCCTCCAATTTAGTGATTGAATTTAATCTCCAAAACTGGCTCACAAACTCCTTGAAGAACAGTTGAGTCATTCCTTTTCAAATATAATATTTGCCGACTTTAGAATGGGCAGCTCTCTGAGATGTGGTCCCTTTTGAAATCCCTTATATACTGCTGTATCTTTGTTTCTACCCATTTTCTTCTTCTGCTAAGCGTGAGGATATTGTGGGGGCTGACTGCTTCTGGGACAGTTTCAGGGGTGCCGTGTTTGTGGGAGAGTCATTGGGCAAAGAGGCAACTGATGATCTGAAATACTGTTGTGCTTCTGCCCGTTCCTACCTTTTAGAAAACTTTTCAAAAAAAAGTGGATGAAGGGACATGGTCAAAGTCCTCGGCATCTTCTTCAGTTCACTGCATCTTTCCTGTCGTGCAGGTTTCTTTCCGTAAAGAGTAGGAGTTGCAAAACTTGATTTTGCGGAGTTATTTTATCTTATTTTCACACTCCTTCTTTTGAACTGTAGACAGAAAAGAGCTCAGTGCTGTACATGCTGATCTTGGCTAGATTTGGAGAGGTCTGTGGAAGTGAGGTGGGAAAGTTGGGCCATCAGTTTACTCTGGGAAGTTGCTTGCTTTCTCTGTGACCAGGGAGTATTGAGTACAGGTTGCCCAGCGAAGTTCTGGATGCCCCATCCCTGGAGGGGTTCAAGGCCAGGCTGGATGAGGCTTTGAGCAACCTGGGCTAGCGGGAGGTGTCCCTGCCCATGGCATGGGGTGGAACTGGATGATCTTTAAGGTCCCTTCCAACCCAAACCATTCTGTGATATTGCCTTGTAACCAGGGGTCCTGATCCTGTTTGCAGCCTCCAAGTGCTCAGCACGAGCAATACCAAAGCAGGTACTTTGTAATGACCAACGTGTTCCCACTACCGTCAGCTTGAGCAGCATTTCAGACAGTCTTTCTACATGCAAGGCACCCATTTCTTCACTCTGATTATCATCATGTGCATGAATGGAGAAGATGGCCTCATACTTTACAGTCCAGGTACCGTTCTGATCTTCTGGTGTAACACTGGTGAAAGTACACAGTGGGAGAGCAGGTGCTATATTCCTTCGTAGAATGGATATTCCTGTGTTGTCTCAGCCTTGCTTCTGCTCTAGATGGAGAAGACTGAGCTGTGTCACACTCTTTACTTTCTAATTTTCTTTGAATGCTGGAGTGTTCTCTTTGGTCCTTCTGTGGCAAGGAGGAGTTGGACTTAAGGAAGAGCAGCACTGGTGAGCCACTTGCAGTCCATGGCCGGTGACATCATTCATGTCATCCATTAGCCTCCTTCAGAGCCCAGTGAAAATAGTTAGCCTACCACTGTCCTTGACAGGCAGGCACCTGGTCTTATTATTTCTGCTGTGTGGAGAAACTGGGGTGCTGTGCTGGGCAGAAAGTCAGCCAAAACATGCCCCAACCCCACTCATGTCAATGGGAGTGTTTTAGATTGACCTCCCTGAATGCTTTTTTTGTGGATTCTCGAGAAGTCATAGCAGAACAGAAGCTGTCTGAAGCCAAAGACAGCATTTTACCCATCATCAGAACCTGGCGATACTTGGCATGTTTATTTCCTGAACCATTCAACAAAATGGTCTTTCAAATGTCATTTCACTAGTGGTTTTTAATTACCCTCGGTTCTTTTCTTTTTTTTTTTTTTTCCAGCAGAATATTCAGCTTCATGTTCTGCAGTATCTTTGTCCTTTCAGCCTTACTTTTTTTCAAACTGGCTGCAGAGGCTTCACTATAACAAGGGGGTTACATAAAAGATCAAGATTATATTTGTTTTGAAAGGAGAGCGAAAAGAATACATTCTGCTTATGAATGGTCACTCAGAGAGCACTGATCTTCACAGTGCCTTGCTGGGCAACACAGAAGCTCGTGATGATGATAAAAGGATATAGATTTTTAAAAGGATGAAAGGAAATGCTTTTGTAACTTGGCAAATAACAAGCTCCTGGAATTCATTGCCGAGGGATGTTGGTGCAGCACATACTTTAGTGAGATTCAAATCTCTGAAGAACTACCAGTCCCCAAGGTCCCGAACATGAACTCGAGGGCTAGCTGGGGTCACAAAAACTTATTTCCCTCAGGGAATAATGTTGCAGTCCCCCAATTGCCAATGGAGGGCTCAACTCTTCTTGTAAGTATGAGCTACTGGGAGAAATAGCGAGACTAGTTCATGACTGTTTTTGAGATGAGAAACATCCAATGCCTGGAGACTATTGAATGAAGGAAAACCTCAGGGAGCATTTTCCAGCCGAAAGGGAATTTTCACTTCATCTGCAGACAGTTACTTTTTCTTTCATCTCGGAAGAATGGAAAATTTCTCAATTCTTTTGCTTCTCCTAAGCACTGTCATCAGAAAGGATTCACAGGCTTGATCCTCAGCACGTTTAATTCAATGGACTTTTTCCATTAACTTTAATGGATTTTGTTTCGCTCCTTTTGCCAAAATGGCTTCTCAAAGTGCTTTGAGATCTACAGATGAAAGCGCTGGATAAGCAAGAGTAGAATTTATTATTATTGTTCATCTGGAAGAAGCTGAGTTATTTCATCTCCTTACAATGACTTTATAAACTCTGTAGCCAGCAAAAGTGAAGAAAAGTTGCTAGGCTTCGTCTCAACTGTCTTTGCGCAGGCTGAGATACACGTATAGATGCCATCAGAAATGTTTGTGCCGTTGTTTAAATTACTAGTCCCAGCTAGAGTTGTCACCAGCTGCTTTGCCAGTTCGACTCAGAACTACCGAGCTGGTACAGGTTGATCTGCCACCAGCAGCACCCATATCCCTCCCATTCATGAGATCTTTCCTTTTTCATAAGTCAGCTGCCCTCAGCATCAGATCTGCCCATCATCTTCCTTTCAAACCATTAAGTCAAGCTCCCCAGGGGCAGTTCCCAGTATATCAGCAGAAATTCAGGCTCTAAATTCTAAATTCTTCTTAATGCAGCCTGTATGAAGTAGATAGAGGTGAAGACACCATGCTGTTGCACAGCCTCTGTGTTCATATCACAGAATCATAGAATAGTTTGAGTTGGAAGGGACCGTGGAGGTCACCTAGTCCAACCCCCCTGCAGTAAGCAGGGACATCTTCCACTAGATCAGGTTGCCCAGAGCCCCATCCAACCTGACCTTGAATGTTTCCAGGGTCGGGGCACCTACCACCTCCCTGGGCAACCCGTGCCAGTGTTTCACCAACCTAAGCGTGAAATATTTTTTCCTTACATTTAGTCTAAACCTCTCCTCTTTTAGTTTAAAACCATTGCCCCTTGTCCTATTGCTGCAGGCCTTCTTAAAAAGTTTATCCCCATCTTTCTTATAAGCCCCCTTCAGGTACTGAAAGGCCGCAATAAGGTCTCCTTGAAGCCTTCTCTTCTCCAGGCTGAACAACCCCAACTCTTTTAGCCTCTCGTCACAGGGGAGGTGCTCCAGGCCTTTGATCATTTTTGTGGCCTCCTCTGGACCCGCTCTAACAGGTCCATGTCCTTCCTGCGCTGAGGGCTCCAGAGCTGGACACAGCGCTCCCGGTGTGGTCTCACGAGAGCAGAGCAGAGGGGGAGAATCACCTCCCTTGACCTGCTGACCACACTAATTCTGATGCAGCCCAGGATAGTAAGCATCGTCCTCGTCACAGGGTGTGGGGTTGATAGAGCTGAGCCTTAGCAAGCCAAGCGAACACCCAGCAGTGCGGACAGAAAGCACGAGGGTCCAGGGATCAGTATGTCCTGCTCTGGAGCCTCTCTTCAACTTGTAGTATAGGTATCCCTGCACCTCGTGTGTCAGGGCTGGTAGGGAGAGGTAAGTTCTGCTTCAGGTCTTACTGCTTGGGCTGTGGAGTGGAGGGGAAAAAACCTGAAGATTGGATTGGGTGTAATAAATGACTTCCCAAATTTTAACTGCTGTTAATGGAACTGCAAGAAAAAGTAATATTTCGTGGTCTAAAAGGCGTACTGTCAAACCGAGTCTGCCAGGGCGATCTCTTGCAGCTGTAGAATTTGTTGGAGAGTGTTTCTGGTTTGCAGGTAGAGGCGATCAGTGGCATTGCTTTGGCTTCACTCTGTTAAAATGTAGTTGTCAAGCCAACAAAATTCTGAAGCACATAGAAGTCCAAGCAAGTACACTTTATATAGATATATATTTTTTTTGAGTACACTTAAATATTTATAATATATGTTTATATGTAAAACATACATAAATATAGAAAAACATATATACACAGACACACTGTAAAATGCACCTTTTTCCTTGCAGTTCATTAACAGTAGTTAACATTTGGGAAGCTATTTATTACAGTTAATCCAATCTTAATTTTTTTTCACAGTGCTTTTTTTTCTCTCCACTCCACTGCCTAAGTAGTAAAATATAAATATATGTATTTATATTTAGGTGTACTTGTGTTTTCCTTAAACTGGGATGATAAAATATATACAAAGATTAGAAGCATGTAATACATGTGGAGTCATTCAATCCCGTACTAGTGCATTCATATAAAGAAGAATAACTTTGTGGTCTCAGCAAGCTCAGAAGTGGCCCCATAAATCAGTAGACTCACCGAAATGTTTTTCACTCCTATTAAAATAAAATTGTTGGTGACAATTTATTGCTGCAAATATAGTTCCTGTGTATCCTCACATCAGCTACAGTCCAGCTGGGAAATGGGGAACTGTAGAGGAGAACCATCATAATCTTGTTGACACCCATTTATTTGGAATATCTGCTTCCAAACGTTTTCTGAGTTTTCTGTGCACAACAGGTGCTGTTCTCCAAAATGAAATATCTTCTCCAAAAATGAGATCTGGAACAAGATGTGTCCAAGTTTTTTTGCTGACTTACTGTGGAAATAAATGAATCAGTGTGTAAGAGTGATTGGGGAAAAACTAACAAGAAGCCATCATAATTACCTTAAAAGAAAAAAAAAATCTGAAGGAGTATTCAGCAGACAGCAATACCTATTTAGGCTTCTGAAGAAACTACTGGAAATGAGATGACTTAGACTACCGAAAAGAAGACAGAAAATGAAAGAATTTATTGGAGGGTAGATTTCAACACCAGCATGACAAGGGCTAAACAAACCCAAGCAGGTGACTCCATCTCCAACAGTGGAAATATTTTGTGCCTCTGCTGGGAATATTTTAGATACGAAAATTTATAAAGATGCTTTCAGAATGAACAGAGCTATGATGTTAAAGCTGTTCTTCATACCCAAATGAGTTCTTGCTCCTAAACAAAACATGCTCTAGCGTGTTGGCAAAGCGTAGTTACGGTGGTTTAAATGCGTTTGCACTTGGGGTTTGTGCTAATACAGTTCTGCTGTCAGGGAGCCACACCTCTTCACACCCCTGACCAACGCCGGCTGTGTTGGCAGAAATCCACAGTGGTTAGGGTCAAAGGGAAGTAATTAAGATGGAAAGCAAAACCCTAGATAAAAAGCTCTCTTGTAATTACATCAGCATATCCGTGCTGCAAATGTAACTGTCTGTTTAAATTACAGGTATCTAGACCTCCGAAAATTTGGCTCAGTTCCTCATGGAGGCTTCGGAATGGGATTTGAACGCTACCTGCAGTACATCTTGGGAGTTGACAATATCAAAGACGTTATTCCTTTCCCCAGGTTTTCTCACTCCTGTCTCCTGTAGCTCAGCAGTTGACTCAGGTGGAGCAAGCTGCTGGTGTGACTGTATGTCTATAACATGTTAAGGAATGACTAAGTGTGTTTTAATAGGAAATCAAGATAATTATTTCACTGAAACTCTTGGTAAATTTAATACTGGCTTCTTGAAAATAATTTATGTTGTGATTAGATTATGGAAGCACACTTGCAGTGAATTTGATAGCAGTTCATGTCCTCAGTGCACTTCAGGAATATTAATAAATTTCGCTTAACTAAAGGGTTAATATTCTCGTGAGCCTAGTACGAGCTATGGAAGTACTGAATAAGCATTGTTGGGAGGTAGTGTGGGTTTTATGTGACATATTAATAAGGAGGTGTGACCTGAAATGGACTGGGAGCCAGGACTGCTGTGAGGCTTTAGTAAGCTTTAATTAAATGCCCGTACAATGCTTTGAAGTTTGAGCGTTATAAAATTGTGAAGCATTGTCGTGGAAGCGATGCACTTGGCTATTGTAAAGTGTGATTGTCCCTACCCTGAGTTAAAAGCAAATATTGTTTACCTTGGACAAATCAGCCAAACCTGGCAAGGAAAAATGTCATACTGGAACTGCTGGAGTGAATGAGGTGAATGATGTTTGATTTTGTGAATCTTCAATAAAGATGTACACTGGGTTGTTTTGTAACTCTGGATTGTTTCTTCTTCTGTTATAAAACCGTAGCACTTGGCATCACAGGGTTTCCTTCAATATCTTTGGTAGATGTTTCCTTTCCCGTATACCCAAATCACTTGCACAACTTCTGCAGGAGATATCTGTTTTCTGTCTCCAGGAGAGCACATGTTCGTAGCAGAAAGAAATGTTCAGTCAGATGAGAGTTCATTCATCTCTCCAGAGCCAACTTGCAGTTTATTGGGGTTTTTTTGTTGTTGCTTTGCTTTTTTGGTGTTGTTATTGAGAAAATATCTCGCGTGCTCATTGGACCAAGCGGTTTTGTCTATATTTTGAAACCACCAACATATATGCTCCCAAGCATTGCATATGTATTAAGTAATTGCTTATCGCTATAGGATCTGAACTCCTTGCAGTCTTTAATGGGTTTGTGCTCTCAGCTTCCCTGCCAGGTAAAGAAATATTCATTTCTGTTTTGAAGATGGGATTAAGGGCACATCAAGTGACTTGCCCAAGGCAATTGGAAACCAATGGTTTATTTGGGGCTTAAACTGAGGGTTTCCAGCATCCTTCTTCCCTTTCAAATTATCATAATCCAGCAAATGGTCATTTGCATAGTGCTTCCTACTCTGGAGCCCAAGACGGCTGCAGTATAAACAACATATATAAAAAGAAAAAAAAAAGTAACAACCTTATAGCTGATGAACCCTGTGTAAATTGCCACATACAATGTGAAGAGGCTGCAGAACAGCCCTGAAGACTTCTTTTCCAAGTAGATAAAAGAGATTGAAAAACAGCAATCAGATAGCATCGAGCTGGTAATATTGCAGTCACAGTTCTCACTGATAGGGCTGCATAATATTGCACCTGCAGTATCTAAAAATACAAATTTCTGTCATGTGGTACCTGCCATGTTTCAGTTTGGTCCATGTCTGGGGCTTTTACGTGTTATCATCATGCAGAGAACATCACCACAGGGTCATTACTTCAGGGTGTTTGTTGCATGCACTGAGACATCCCCTGCATATCGAGATTTTTTTTTTCATATCTCCTTCGTCTCCTTGATGAGGCAGGTGTTAACTGTGCGTTTGCTGGTTCATGTTTCCCAGTAGAGCCTTGAGCTGATAAGTCTGATTCCACAAAATGATTCAAACACCTGCCTTCCCTTTGAAGCCACTGAGACGTTCCTACATCAGACACTCGAGTATCTTCCTGCGTATTTGGACCATCTCTTCTTTTAGTACCTTGTCTCAAATGTTATTGCTGGCCTTTGTGTTGTGAAATTACTTCTCTCAGTAGAAAGATGTGGAAAAGAGCGCAGCTGCCAAACAGCCCCATCCATACGATGTTCCAAATAACTTGTGATGAGCAGGTGTCCTTACTGAGATCCTTACTCACTAGTTCTGTCCCTGTTGCTGTAAGCAAGAGCACTTGAACTGGAAGCCCACCTGCTGAAAACAGAGTGGGTGGATGGCAAAACCATCTCGTGTCCACTCTGCTCTCATCCCCGCAGCAGTTCTGGGCTGGCCGCGTTGGTTTTGGCATCAGCGGGCTGTTGGCAGCGGGAGGTTGTTGATCACGCCGTGAGATGCCAGATCTGATGGGCAGGCTGGGGCTGAGCAGCGACAGGTGAAAAACAAGGTGTAGAGAAGAAGGTAATGGAAGGTGCCAAAAAGTCATAGGATGATGTGGCGTGAGTCACAAGTGACAGGGAAGGATAGCAAGACTTTCAAACAGGTTTGCAGAGTGGTCGTCAAGACCTTAAATGCAGTGACAGCTTTCAAGAACCAAGGACTGGTGTGATCCACCCTTTGCTCTTTGTCTTGAGAAGAGGTTGTTGCAGGACAGAAGGAAAAGGTTGAACCTTTAATTTTAGATAGGTATGTATATGAAAAAATACCAAAGGTTTGGGATTTTAGGGTTGGGGGGCTTTTTTTTGGTTTTTTCTGGTTGCAGCCATTGCAGAGAGGCAGATTTTTAAGGAAGATGTAGCAAGGATGAACCATGAGTGATTCTGGGTGCGTTTCCAACTACGTGTCCAAGAGGAGCGGTCTCCCCAGTGTTTCACATGTATTTCAATTTCATTCAAAGGTACTCAGTGAGTTGGAGATCCGATGGGCAGAGTTCAGCTAAGGGGGCATTGCCCTTGGGTGTTAAAGCTCATCTAAAAACCCACTCCCAATCAACTGGGAGAACGAGCAGGAGGAGAGCAGGTTTGTTCCCAGCAGAACTAACCAGGTGGATTCTCAGGCTCAGAAAGGAGAAGAAAGGCTTGGCCAGCCTTCAACATGGGTTGGTTTTCCTAGTGGTGGAAGAGAGGAGGAGGTAGAGGCTGAGGCCCGTGTGTGTGGTGATACTTCTTAGGGTTAATACAGAGGTTGATGTTCTTGTGAAACGCTTGATTTATGGGTACCCAGCAAGGGTGGGAGCCGCGCTTTCCCTCCAGGCTGGCATTGTTCGCCTCCTGCTATGTATATATAACATCGACTGGTATCGCCAAGGAATGCGACATGTTTTCCCTGGGATTTCCATCTGGAATGTCATGTATTTCCTTCGAATCTCCTCTCCCAGAGTGAAACGGAAGTTAAGCTGGAGGACAGGGGAGGTCGTTCCTCTTGGCCATGTAGGCAGGGAAACGCACGGGGTATTTCTCAGATTTAAGTCGTTTTCCTTGCTGCATCTTCACGTAGAGTCTGCACTCTGGCAATGGCTGAAGCCAGACAAAACCTCTGACACTTCTTCAAATAAAAAGCTGTTATTCTTTGCACGCAGGAATCACCTCTTAGCCTGAACACCCAGCGCCGTGCCTTACGTTGGGGTGTTCTTGGTGCGGTCAGCGGGCAGCTCTCCAGCCCAGGTGACCAGCACGGTCCCTGCTCGCATCCTTTCGGTAAGTATTCCTTGAAGTTTCCGTTCCTCGGCAGCCACTCCTGCCTCTTTTCAGGTTTGTCCTTGCTATGAGCTTCAGAAGAAAGAATCAGTGTCATTGATTACTGCATCTGTGGCTGTACAACATTAGGACAGAGGGATGGGAGAGCAGCACTGCTCGGAATAAAAGAGCAATGCCGTAAACTTTGCATAACCAAATGCCAGCCTCTCCGAGAGTGTTTAGAGGAAAGCCTTTGTTTTCCCTTCAAGGATATCAGATAATCCCTTCACTTAAGATTTTTATGTGCAGGATCAAAGTATCGTAAAGTACTCTGGTTTTAATTAAAAAAAAATACCTGCAGAATGAACACCCCGTCTCAGTCTTCTCATTTTTAAACCCACAGGAGAGCAAATGCGTGCTCTGAAGGTAGTACTAGAGCTTGCCGGTCTCTCCCTTGTGATTTATGTTGGGATACTATGGCAGTGTCTAGATGTTGGGCTGTTGTACTAGCTTCTGTACAAGATGAAAGATACATCGCTGGGCCAAGTTTTTCAAAGTCAGCAGACCAGCGCGGGGGTTTTAGCTGAATTACCTGTATTCAGGCCCCCAGAGCTGAGGGGAAAGCAGCGAGGTGCCCAGCTCAGCACTCCTCTCTCCAGTTTATTTGGTAGCAGTTGTATTTTATAAAGCATCACTTGTTTGAGGGAATGCCAAGACTTTGATGGGAAACGTAATGTACAGTTTCGCTTGCTGGACTAATACGGATTGTTTTGGAAATAGCTTATAGATGTGTTTTTTCTTCCGGGGGGAGAAGGGGATAATTTGCCAAGAAACACTTTGGTCATTATTTGCATTAAATGTGTGTATAGAGATAAATGTGGCTTTGCTGCTGCCGGAACCAATAACACTCATTCCTACTGCTGTTTTAGCCTCTGCCTTCTGCTTAGGGAGAATTGGGAGATGGGTCCAAAGGAGAAATAAGAAAGACTTTGTATAAAGATTGTCAACATTCTTATTTCCTCAGATCTCACCAAAGCTGCGGAAGCCACATAAACGGTGGTCTCGGGGGTGAATTTATTGTTTTGTCTTACGGTTTGTTGCAGAGCCGTGACCTTCGGAAGGATTGTAAAGTTTTATTTTATGATCCTGCTGGTAAAGAGACGTATGTAATTTACTAGATGAGTTCTTACAGACTTGGCTAACAAGAAGTTTGACCCAGAGTTCAAAGAAATTATGGCTCCCGTTGTTTTATTGCTGCTGTGAAATGTATTATTATCTGTCCTACAGCTGTGTCTCAGTGTCCGCTGTGCGTGTTCGGCAAAGATGCTGTAAAGAGAGAACTTTCACGTAAAGGGCAGGAGAGGGGCAAGACCGTGTGGCCATTTAAAAGACATATACCAGCTCCATCAGACATTGGAGGCTTGATCGTGGATGAAATGTGGGTGAAATGACTTCAGAATCCTTGTTGCTTTGATTGCTGACGCTATTTTACTGCAGGAAATTGAGGCACGGAGCAATTAAGCTGCTTGCCCAAGGTTATGGAAGATGTGTGGCAGAAGCATGGAACCGACCCAAATCAACCGAATCCTTGCTCAGCGCCTCCCCACGAGATTTCCCTCTGTTTGCCTTTGGGTGCGCTGCCACACCAGAAGCAAGGCAGGATGTTTGCAACTGATCCGGTTTCAAACACATTTTTGGCATTTCTAAGATCCTAGGCTGTGCTTCAGTGATTTTCATCTAGCCCTGTATGTCCCAAGGCCTTTCAGAGATAGTAATCCCACTGTTTATTTTTATTACTCTTGCAATTGATTTTTTTCCTGAATACTTTGAGGCAGCTAACAGAGTACATTT